TCAAAATGCACCCTCTACACAAGGCCATCTTCCTAGAGTTCAATTACCCCCCCCCCCCCACCTCATCTCCTCCAACAGAATCAACATCGCATGGAGATCCTCCACTTGTCAAACCAGGGCATTCTACATCTTGTCTAGCTTATGAGTAAATGTCCTTAGGGACATACGACATCCCTCAACCCATTCCTCACAGATCTTCGCATAGTTAGTCAGAAATTTGACCATGTTTCCTCATTATCGACTAGCACTTGCTAAACAAAAGTTGCCGCTGCAGTTGGTTCTCAGTCGTCACCAACAAAGGGAAAAACCCAAATTTGAGCATACTCACTTGCAAGAAATAGAAATGGATTAGCAAGAGAAGAAATTATCTAAGTAAATCCTAAGGCAAATGAAAACACATAAGCAAGATTTGCTCCACCTCAAACTAAGTAGCTCTGCCTACATTCAACAATGAAAGCTTCATCGACGATTCTTTTTTCTCCGACTAGGTAGTCACCTCTACTAATTCCTAGTAAAGTAGTCAGTTGAGGAACAATTGAAGTCTTTAATTGGCCCAGAAACTTAACCGCAGCCTTCGTGTACAAGCTAGCCGTCGAACCACACAGTTCCTTCCTAGTGTTGAGTTGACTATTTTTTGGAGCCTCTTAGATTGACTTCAACGACTCCTACTCCACTCAGATGGTTTCAGCTTCTTAGCGCGTTTCTTCTCACACTTCTTCTTCCTCAGCTCACCTTCTATCCAGTGTTGTTTGTTTAATGGAACAATGACCAGCATTTTTATTTGATTGACAGGTTGAGGCACTGAATCAGATCCTTTCTCCATAACTGTGATGCAGAAACTGAGTAGTTGTAATGAGAAATAGAATTAAGATACGAAGAACTGTCTACTACACCGTATATATAAGGGTGGTGTGCATGGAAATCTCAGGAGTCTAATCATAACATTAAATTATAACTACTAAGATTCAATTTATTACATTAAAATTTTTCTTATTATTATCAAAGTTAATGCTATTAAGGAACAAGAAAATTAAGAAACTTAATATGTACACCGAAAAATATTTTGCACAAATCTCAAGGCAATCTAACGATCCAAATCACAAATGAAAGGGTACATATCCTCATGAATCTAATCGGCTGCAGAGAACTAGTTAACAAATAATTAATTGATCGAAGGGTTGCCAACCGACCAAAAGGTCACCCAAGCTAACCAGGGATAGGCATTCACGTCAATGCCCAGACAAAGGTCTAACATCCCTCAATAATCTCACAAGTATCAATGTAAAACTCTCTCAACAGCTCCCCGAAAGGTTTCCAAAATCACCAAGGAATAATAATCGAGACCAACCGACCACCACACTCAAAACTAACTGGGTTCCCATAGCGAAGGCTGACCAATGTTTGGATAGGAAGGCTCACTGAAACCAGCTCAGGTGACCAACTAGAAGGTCCTAGCACATGAAAAGGTGCAAAATTATTTTTGAATGTAAAAATATGCTAAAAAGATAATAATATCTACGCTCCTATTAAAGCAGGGGCAAGCATGTAATTATAGACTTTGTACTTATATCTTCTATAAATAGGGAGACCATAACATGGATTAGAGGCTTTTGGATCTTCACTCTAGATCCATCCTCTGTATGAAGAACTCTCTTCACCTCTCTCTTATAATCGTTATTTCTAAGATATAAAATGAGTCACAGTGCCCAACGAAAACCCCATTCGCCCCCATAGGGCAAGTCTATGTGTATTGTCTCATTCTTTCTCCCCTCTGTCTCTCTTTGTGCCTCTCCCTCATGATTTTTACCACTCCAATCCTTGAGCATGCATCATAGGGAAAATTTGAATTCAACAATACATATATATATACTATCAAAAAAAGATATTGTTCATCAAGTTTATAGTTGTGTCTAAAGTAAATCGATTTCTAGCAATATGGCGAGAGATTGAAAAGGATGAGGGCATTCAGTAAAAACTTCAATCCATTGTAATGTTTAGCTACTTATTTCATCCCTAATTTTGTGCTTTAAAAATTGTGCCAAAGATTTCATTGAATGCTATCTTGTTTCTTGAGTTGGTAATAGATGATGTCCAATCAATCAAAAAGAGCTTGGAATGGGGACAATCTAACTAATGAATGAAATGAACTACTGTATGATTATGTGGGACATGACATAAATTTTAGCATAGCTCATAGGTACTACTACACTCCACGATTTGTGGCTTCTACTTTTCCATGAGATTTGGGATGGTAAGGGTGACTGAAGTGGAGTTGTGCTTCCAAATTCTTGAGAAATCTCACCAAAAAGTGCTCAAAAAGTTGTGGTTACAATATGACACAATTATCTTTGGAAAGCAAATTTCATATTTGAGCTATGAAAACTTGTGCAACATAATACACAATGAAATTGGTCGGTAATGTAGTAAAAGCATGCATTTTTTCAAGCAATCAATAATTGACATGACATTTAACTCATCATGAACATGTGGGAACTAGACAATGAAGTACATGGTCAAATCATCTAATAATTTTGTAAATATTAGAAGAGTTTGTAATAATCCTCATGAACCTATTGCTTGGAACATTATTACTTGATAGTTTGGACAATTTTGAATTATATTGTGCACATCCTTCATGTGTACCAAGTGAGACTATTTTGGGTCCCTATACGAAATTTTGTAGATGCAACCATTTCAGTCAAAGCTAGTGCTTGGTATTGCAATAAAAAATTTGATTTGACAGCAAGGAGGGTCTTATTGTAGTTGTGCTTGTACACCTATGCTTAGGTATCTTATGCAAACATGGGGGATCTCTTGTACTAATTATTCTATGTTAATTTTTTTGGCTGTTAGGATATTGATATGGGTGAACAATAATGGTGTAGTTCTTGACAATAGTAGAATTTGATATTTGGATTGGGGTGATGGAAGGTTAGTTGACTCACTAAAAAGCTCAAGATATTGAACTAACAAGAATAGAGAAGTGTGTGATGGGAATATGCCGCAATAGATTACTATTTATCTCTAGTTGGATTGTTGTAAGCTTTAGGAGCAACTTAAGCATGAGGAAAATTTTTTGAGGACCTAGTTGTAGTGAATGTGCTTGATGTCCAATAATCTATTTCTTTGTAATGTAATGTGTTGTCCATGTTTCATAAGCTTTTGTAATTATAATTGATGATAGTATTACCTAAAATTGTAACCATTGGGTGCTTAATATAATGGCAGCACCCTAGATAGGTAAGACAAAATGTTCAAGCATGAATTTGCTTAATTTTCAAAACAATAGCAATATCCAATTTCACCACATTACTAACCAAGACATTTAGCAAGTTATGGCTAGGATTGGCAACTTCGAAAATTCCAACAAGTGTTTCTAAATGAAGTTATGATGGAGCCATTGTCAATCTAGACTTTGTACATATATGCTTGCTAGATCATGTAGGTTAATTTCTAGTTGTCACTACTGGGTTTGGCCCTGTATATACTTTATTTCCTGCATAAAAGACCATTTCAATGGCCAAGTTTTTGGAGGAATGCTTTAGTTCTATGAATAAAGCAAAAAATTTAACTTCACATATATGATTTTAATAGTTGTTTTCACAACATTATAGCATAGCCCTTTCGCTCGCGAAAGCTTTTTAGTGAAAGATGCTTTCAAGAAAATTTACACACATTAATAAATGTTTTGTTCTAGTAACCCTCAGATGTCTCTTTTTTCGCCGCATCATCCAAGTAGGAGATTAATGCGAGCTCATCGACATCAATCAGTCTAAGATCTCAAGATTTGCATACACTCCACTTAATTCCTATATATTTACATACCTAAAACCTAAACTTAATTTTTTACATATATGTCATTTTCTTATGCATGAAAAGGTGTATTTCACTTTTTAAAAGTAAAAAAAAAAACAATGATATTTTTGCTATGATGTGAAGGATTTGGGTGACATAAGTATAAAAAGTGAAGTTTAGCAATTGAGGGTCTGTTTATGGACCCTATCCTGAAACGCGACCCGCGGGCCGGCCGCGAGGGTCAACCTTTAGTGTAAAAACCCAAACGCAGTTTCAGATAAGCTGGCGAAACTCGCAAACCAAACGGCATGACGGCATTTTGAAAACGCCGCCCGCACTTATAAGCTGCCCCAAACGGACCCTGAGTGATATGAAGGAAATGCCCCTTCTCTATATCCAAGTTTCTGGATTGTCTCCATAGTAATATAAAAGACGGACTGATTTCTCTTCTCCATTGCATCCAATACATTATTGATATCACCACCATATGATGACCAGTGTTAGCATCAACACTACCATAACTTATCAAGAGCATAACAAAATCAATATAATATGGGGGTATTTACATACCATACAATTCTTATGAATTTGCATATCTTAAGAATACCATTATCGCTTTACATTTTACAAGTGAAATACACATTTTGATGCATAGAGAAAGAGTGGTATTAATGTAAACATCAAATTTTAGGTGTTAGCTATGTAAACACATAAAAATTGTGGGTCATGTATATAAAGCTTCCTTTACCTATATTTATGCTCAATCATCCTGATGCGATCCTGGTGACTATGCAAGCTTGAGTAATTGTTGTTGCGGTTCGGATCACAACCACAAATTATAACATGTAATACAACCCTTGATTGCGCCGCGTACTCATATTAGTTGGTCGGGCATCAGCTTGTCAGTTGTAAGTAAGGTGTGGTACGCGAATTCTTAGCTGCATGAGGGATGACAGGGGCTCGTATAATAGCCTCCAGCCATTCCTTTTTAAAAAAAATAATTATACAACCCTTGATTATGGCCAATTCAAGCAAACAAGTTCGAGTTTAGATAGCACGGCCTTTTCAAATACAACATCAATGCCTTCAGCAGCAATACCAAGTTCCACCATTAGGTAAATGTATTCAAAAGCATTATGACCATTGATAAGTAATAACCTTGAATACTTTAAGAGATCGCATTTATAAAAAAAGAACAAACAAGATAACATCAAACCAAATTCCTTCTTAATTGAATACCAATGTTAGAAACTAGTGTTTCTTATCAATATGGGATCAGGTAGATATGTGACCCAGTATCTTAACCCAGGTTGGAGAATTTTGTAATACCTCCCTCAATTTAATAAAGATAAGGAATTAGGAAAGAGATATATTGCTTGCCTTCCACCAATGACCGCCGGCAAGATTAGAAGATCAGAATGGTATACCAGAATATGAAAAAGGTAGCCTGAAGCCAATACACTTCCAGGAAGCTCTGGTCATAACCTCTTAACTGTTAAATTCAGCTGCCAGTTATTTCCTTCTCCTTTGCCCGGGACATGTCATCTGCTGACTTGATGAAACGCTTTGTCATCTCTTCAATCTGAAGAAGAAAAACAAAAGCAAAAGTTTTCAATATTAGATTAACTGCAACCATGGATAAGATCAATGGAATTGAAGATTACTTCTTTCTCCAATCTTTTCACGTCATCTTTTGGAATGCTTGATGCTGATTTCTTAATTGTATCAAGGGCCTGCAACATCCATATTCGATATAATATGAGGAAGGCTTGAATACAATCTTCACATTGAAGGAAATGTTACATGAGTAATTCTTAAAGGCAAAAGAAAATGGAAATAAATACATAATTCTTCAAAGTACTGAAGCAAAACAATGACTTCAGAGCAAAAGAGTTTTGCTATCGAAGCTTCAAGAAAAAACTAAATAAATTGAACTTTTCTTCAAGGCACATATAGCACAGGGAAAAACAAATATGGAAGCTTAATTATCATTTCAATATATCTTGAAAAATTGATTAATCATACTCATTTACATGATCAACCCTCCACTCAAAAGCAACCAAGGAAAGCGAGATGATATACTTTTATCATAAAGACACTAATTTATCCCAAAAAAAAAAATAAATAAATAAATAAACAGATTGTGATCAAAATATCATTTTAGGAAGGATTTATTTTCCTAAAAGTGTTCGTTATAATAGATTACTTTTCAATCATTCATGAGCACAAATAGCAAATAATAAATGAAAAGGAATGAATCCCAAACTAAAGGCAAGTCATGTGACTTGGGGTGTAACTGAGCAAAATCACTCATGAGTCCCCTTGGGCTTAGGCTAGACTCGATAAATGGCTCGCAAGCTAAGCTCGATGAGCTAATAAGCAAAATTTAAGCCAATCTCGACTCAACTTGTAAAAAAATAATTAATATAAAAACAACAAGCCTTTATCCCAATAAGTGGGCTCCCCTACATGAATCTTTTTTCTCCATTGCATGCTATTGAGTGTCATTTTCATTTAATTCTAATAAATTAAAATCATTTTTTATACAACATGCCCAAGTCTTTCTAGGTCTACCTCTTCCTTTCCTAACATAAGTCAAATTTAAAACATCTGTTTTCCTAACTGGATCATCAGATGGTCGGCGTTTAATGTGACAAAACCATCTCAGCCGAATCTCTTTAATTTTGCCAGCCACTGGAGATACACCAAATCTTTCACATATATATTCATTTCACATTTTCGTAGTAGTGTAAAGCCACTCATCCACCAGAGCATTCTCACCTCTGCAATACTTAACTTAGTTTTATGTTTCTCCTTTAAAGGCTAACATTCTATGCCATAGAGCATTGCAGGTCTCGCCGCCATCTTATAAAATTTTCCTTTCAGTCTAAGCGGTACTTTTATATCGCACAAAAGACCCGAAGCATTCCTCCACTTCAACCAACCAACTTGTATTCTACTAATAACATCCTCATCTATATCACCATCACTTTGAACAATAGACACAAGATATCTAAAGCAATCGCACCTTTTAATAATTTGATCACCCAAAATTACAACTTCGTCACTAGAGCTACTACCACTAAAATTACATTTAATGTATTCATTTTAGTTATGCCCAAATGAAGGCCTTTAGACTCAAATGTAGACATCCATAATTCAATTTTTTACTGAGCTCTTTCTCTAGAATTATCCGCAAGAAGGATATCATCAGCGAAAAGCATATACCAAGGTACATCCTCATGAAAATGTCCAGTAAGAGTATCCATAACTAAAGCAAAAAGATATGGGCTTAAAGACGATTCCTAATGTAATCCAACTAAAATTGGAAAATATTTGATCAATCCTCTTGTTTGAACACAAGTAATAGCTCTAGTATACATATCTTTAACGATTTGAATATAAGTCATATTAACGTCTTTCTTCTCTAGAACTCTCCAAAGGATATCTATTGGAACCTTATCGTAAGCGTTTTCTAAATCAATAAAAATCATACGTAGATCCTCTTTATTTTCCCTGTTCTTCTCCAGCAAACCTCTCAATAAATTTATAGCTTCCATAGCAGACCTGCCCGACATAAATCCAAACTGATTATGAGAAATCTTTGTAATACGTCTTAACCTATGTTCAATTACCCACTCCAATAATTTTAAAATATGACACATCAACTTAATTCCTCTATAATTTGCACTTGTGCATTCCCTTTATTCTTAAAAATGGGGACCAAAATACTTTTCTTCCACTTTTCAGGCATCTTTTTTAGTTTTTAAAATAATATTAAAAAGTTTAGTAATCACAAAAAAACTCCCAAATCTCCTAAATATTTTCACACATCAATTGGGATATCAGGTCCTACAAACTTACCACTCTTGGTTTTCTTTAAAGCCTCATCAACTTTTTTACTAATGCAACGGTAAAAATGAAACATTTTATTATTATTAAAGATATTAAGATCGCTGTCATTAAAAAATTTATCAAAATAACTCATCCACCTATGTTGAATATCTTTTCTAAGAAAATCACTTTTTATTTTCATCTTTAATACACTTGAGTTGAATATTTACTTTCTTTTCTTTTTGTTTAGCTAGTTTATAAATATATATTTTTCACCAGCTTTAGTATTTAATCTATTATAAATATCGCTAAAAGTAGAATTTTTAGCATAAAAAATTGTTCTCTTGTACTCCCTACAAACCATTTTATATTTTTTTCTAGTTTTCTAAACATTTAAATTTAAACCAAATTTTATAACAAAACTTCTTATATTTTATATTTTCTTGCACATTATAATTTCACACCAACTATTTTTTATTTATAAAAAACTTTTCTTTCTCATTCTCCAAGTACATCTTTTGCAACTTATTTAATAATATTTGTTACTTTATCTCATATAGAATTTGCAGTTTCATGAATATCTCAAATCTTGAAATCTTAAAGTTTACTCATAAAAATAATTTTATTTGTGACTTTTAGGTGGCGTCATCTAAGTCTATGACAATGGTTATTAGTATTCTTTATTTTACAACTCTTCATCTTAAAATCCATAATTAATAATCAATGTTGAGTGCTTAAATCTTCATCGGGAATACTTTACAATCTTTACATTCTCGGCGATCTTTCTTCTCAAAAGAAAATAATCAATTTGTGTTTTATTATATCCATTCCTATAAGTAATAATATGTTCAGGAATAAATTATTAACAATAAAAAAATCACATGCTCAAGCAAAATCTAATATGACTCTATCTTCTTTATTTATCACTACCTAAATACCAAAGTTTAAAACCTAAGCTATCAATCTCCTTAGAATTTTCTCCAGCCCATTTTGTTTCTTGAATACATTAGATATTTATCTTTCTATAAAAAATAATATCAACTAGTTCCATTAATTCACCTGTCATACTACCATTATTCCAAGATCTTACCCAAATATTAGTTTCATGAACCAAATTCTTTACCCGCATCCATTCGTAATGTGGGAACCCTTGTTTAACGCTACACTCGGAAGCCGGTGTAGCGGCCCTTGCACACTTTTCATTGTTTTCAGGTCGTTTAGCGAGTCGCTTCCAGGGGACGCCCTAGCATTTATACAATGATAAAAAAGATTAATGTCATAATATTTTGATAAATTTTACGCTGGTTGTTGACTACCTAACGCAATCCTCTACTTTTCACATCCGATGCTTGGGACACGACAATGACAATGTTAAATAACTAATATAAAATGCACTTAAGTTATTAAAATATTAAATTTTACCTATAAATGATTAAAACTATTTAAAATTATATTTTATTTTTTAGTATCAAATGATATCTTATGAACTTGACTCGACTCATCTAAATTGCTACATGAGCTCCCCCAGCCCCACACATCTCTCTACACCAAAGTGTAAGAAAGAAGGTAAACTAAATGCAAGGAAAGAGAGACAAGGAAGCAGGTAGAAAAAGGGTGATATTCAAAAAGAAACAAAATAGGAACAATTCAACTCAAACGATAATAAATTATCAATCACTTAACACATCATATTCAGCCATCTCTTTCCAGAAAAGTTTCACCACTCCATACCGAATTCATTACATTAGTCCTATTTTGTGCCTATCTTGGTTTTATAAAGCTCATTGTTCCCATGCAGAGAATCATAGCCCCTGATCTTAATGGTGTTCAAAGAATCAATGTAGCTTATAATTTTGATCTTTAGAACATACAAAATTATAACTAAGGTGTGAGAGAAATGGCATACCACGAAAAATGTATGTCAATAACCCCTCATCAATAAAAAATTATTTGATATTAGAACATAGATCTTGCCTATATTTTGTAGTGGTATTTGGGATGGGAAATTTAAGACGACAACAAACATTAAAATATTGAACTCCCCAAATCATGCAAGGATCCTAGAAGTCGAGAAGAATACCAAGAACAGGATAGGTAGAAATAGGACTGAGTGGTGCCTAAGAAGAAAGACATAAAGGATCATAAAAGAATCATTGTTAACTGCTAATCCAATTCTAGAATTAGAATCATCCATCCAGGGACTGACTTAAGGTCTAAAAAGATTGAGCAGCAACACAAGTGTAGATTGTTGACGTCAAGAGAAGTTTAAAAAGTTTAATACTCATGTAAGGTAGCAGCAAGCGTCGTTGTATTTAATTAAACTGATTAGATAGCTACAACTTGATGCAAGATGGGCAGGCATAACCACAGTTCCAAATTAAGAATGACTAAATGATAAAGCATATCAGCACATATCCATGATGATATGAAGTTTTTCCTCTAATAACATTTTATCATGACCCGACCCGGAACTTGGAATTAACCAAGACGGAAACAGGCAGGCAGACGGTATAATTAAATTTTCAATTATTCTATATCTATTACTAATAGTTTAATATCCAAATATTAATTAAAAAGCCACTATAAAAAACTTTTTAATTAACAAATAAAAGTATATCACTTTGATTGCAAATATCACCTTCTATAAACATTATATACTCTAGTATTCTTCTCATTCAAAATCTTGAACTTGGAAAAAATGTTAAAACAACATGAATTATCTAAAGATTATTCAGTGGAGACATCACACTTCTAAACTATAGTAACCAAGGAAAAAAAAATATGCATGCTAGTCTTTCAATTTTCACTACAAAAAATCTTATATTAATCTAATGCATGCATTCTTAACATTTGCTCAACCAAAATAATCTAAAACATTAAATGCATAAATTTAACTTGA